ATTTTGGGGACCAATGCTTCGCAAGACAGCGATTTAAACAGCTGATCGGCGGTTCACAAAGTGGCTTTCCTATGGGCAACCTTTGCAAAACGACGATGATTTTTCCCCATTGGAACGCATTAAACGGGTTTCATTGCATTCTAATAGGGAAACGCTTTTTGCTAGATGATGTTTTCACAAGACAGCGATTTCAATGGAACGGATTAACATGGTCTAGCGGGGCACCACTGTACTTCATTGTAGAGCTAAATAATGTAATATATAGCATATTCATACAATTTTAAATGCAAATAATACTTGATTTCAGAAAAGGATTTTGTCTCTTTTTTCAGTGACAAATATTTTGAATCTTTTATTATTATAGAGTCATGCTGTTGTTCACCTTTGGAACCTCACACTTGTCCCTCAACAGTTGAAGAGCTGCGACTACTGCAGTGGTAAACATGACATAAACATAAGCCTGCTTCAGTCAGGTTTTGGTGTAACTGTAAAACAGCATAATAATTTCCCATGCTGCTTTGCACAGCGTTTCCTAGCTCTGGGTTGACTGAGTGGTGAAGAGGAATAGGGAACAAATAGGTATCCTGTTTATATTTGGGGTTCCAGACTAGACATGTGATGGGAACCAAAGTCTCAGATATCCCCTTTACCATGTCACACTGCTATCTCTGTTGTTTAGGAGGAAAAAAAATCAAAGCATATATTATGCCAACTGTATGCTTATGTGGCATCTAGTCTGTTCCTTAGTAGCCTTGGGGGTTCACAGAAGGGGAGACAATGCAAGAATAGAATAAAAGTATATCTCACAACATTTTATAAGTTCTTAGAAGATGCTGTTCAGGAAAAAAAGCACAGCATAAATAAACAAATCCAAAGAATACATGAAAAACCCAATAAGGAAGAATCCATGTGCATGTGGATGGCCACAGGGCTTTCTTTCTCCTTTCCCTCCTTCCTTCAAGTATACACATGGGTTAATGGGATGACCAAACATAGTGGAGTCTGCAAGACCTGAGTGTTCCTGCTATATCCCCATCTGCAGAGTGGAGAGAGTGAAAATAGGATTTGATAACTAAGGCATGCTCAGGTTCTCTATTCTTATACTACTTTGATATGAGAGAGCTTTTGAATGTGTCTATGTGCATGCTCAGAGGAAAGCCAGTCTTCTAAATGACTATGAATGTATCTAAAAGCAATTTAATTTCATATTTCATTAATATTTCAAAATATTTTACCACATAATTCAGAATTCTGTGATATTTGAGTGATTAATGATTGTGGCCAAAATCCTGTTGCTTAGCTTAGTATATCTCATTAGAGTAGGCCCTCTGAACCAATGGGGATTTGGTGAATCAATTCCTCCGAACTCCATTGATTCACATGGGCGTACTCTATAATTCAATCTAACATAGTAAAATCCCTATTAATATAATGGGACAACTCTGCTCTGATTTACCACATAGAGCAACAGGATTTGGTTCTGTGTCTAATAAAGAACATCCCTAAAGACATGAGAAAAATTAATATTATTAAATTTGAACTTGATTTACTGTACCCCTTTTGGAACCTTGTAGGGTTTTTTGTGCGTGTTCATATAGGTAAATCAGCCTATCTTTCCCCCCCACACCCCTGTTCTTCTTACAGTGGCATGCATGAAACAGTTGCTTGCACTGGCTCTAGTACTGGCTTACCGGTTGCTTAGCCTTCTTTTGTCACTCCTTTTTTGACTGGGCTGACAACAGCAGAATATTCTAATATATCTACTCTGTGGAATACAAATACACATCCTCCCACTGAAGAGATTACTCCTGCACCTTCTATAAAGTCTACAAATACAGTTGGTCCATTTGGAACAACTAATCCAGCATTTTCTGCGATGCCATCTACCAAGACTACTACTTCTTTGGCAGTACCTTCCATCACTGCAGCACCTCACAGTTCCTCTTCCACCAAAACTACAGCAGCAGCTTTCACTTCCATGTTGTCCACTTCTTTTGTTACACATTCTACCACTGGTGATGCTGGAAATACAAGTAAAGCCACCACAGGTAAATCTAATTTCTTACAACGGATTGTGAAGTCCCCCTGTCAATAGACTAGATGTACATACGCAGTTTAAACTGTGGTGTTATACTAGCAGTGTAACCCAGAAGTGTTTCCTCCATGTCAACAGCTGCAGTTTGCTGTGCAGTTGTTAAGTGCAAACACTACTGTTTTACCAACTGCAGTTTGACTGTTAGTAAAGCTGTTAAGTGAAAACATAACTGGCGATTGCATGGTAATATCCTACCCTTTGCCCTATGGCACCAGGACAGAGGTAGGGTGGGACTGTGCAAGTGCAAACCCAAGTGGGTAAATGTTCTGGCATGAGCACATGCTGCTGGCATCAGTAGGAGTAGATACCCACTAAATAGCTATGTACTTTCAGGGTGCTTCAGCACTCACAATCTCTCCTTTGTACTGCCACAAGGTAAAAAGTAGCATTTCTTCTTTGTCATGTGGCAAGCGAATTCGTTTGGCAAATGGCTTCACCCCCTGTTGTTCCTCTGCCACATCTTGAATGTTTGGATCAGGCTGCAGTGAATCAAGGTACTTTATTGGAAAAAGCAAAAACCTAACACATTTCTGTGTGGGCTATTGTTAAAGGCCTGTCTGTACTTTTCCAGTACAACTGATTCATGCAAGTGATACATGTCACATCCTGAACCTGTATCATATTCCTACTGCTCTGCATATTAGAAAAAGAAGAATACAGTTGCTACCAAGTGTATCAATCTTTTAAGACGAGCTGCAATTGGGCATGTGGCTTTCCCATAATACATGATGGGCCCATTTACTGGTGACTTCTCTAGTATGTTTAGTCTAGCTCTTACATTGGAAACTGGAAGAAGTCCTCTGGAGATTGGACTTGAAACTGATCTCGTAAGATCTTTTAAACTATTAGCACTGAATAAGCACCTGTCTTATATTCACAGATTGTGAGCAGGGAAAGGGATATCTCCCCACATTCTGAGGTGAGGCAATTCTGCCTTCTAGCCCACAGGCAGCCCCTCCTTGTATTGTACAGTATTACACTAGGGGCAACAATATTTTACTTCCATGATGTTGAATTATTTACTGAAACAATAGTTGAATGAAACAAATTCTGCTTTCAGTATGAAAAGGCTTCATTTTCCTTTTTCTTTCCATTAGACCTAAATAACATACTTCTTTCCCTCTTTATCTGTTGCAGAACAAGTATCCCAAAATCACCCAAACATTACTGATAGCAGTGGTGGCCCAGATGTGGAGAAAATAGTATCTCAGCTGGAAGGCAATTTGACTGCAGAAACAATAGCGCCCTCTTTTGCAAAAACAATGCTGGAAAGTGTTAGCTTTCTCCTAGACAAGCCACAATCACAGATATCTCCAATGTCTAAAAGGTATGCGTTTTGTAATTTAAGGAAATTTTAGTGCATCTTATTGTTATACTGTTTATCTCTTTCATACAATCTTAATGCTATCAGCTGTAATTTTGTATATTACCCCTCTATATGAAATTGTTCTACTGGAATGAACATGCTGTGCTTCAGCAACTTTCCTTAAGGCCCGTATCCTGTTGAATTGCACGAAACGTTTGCAGCATTTGGTGAGGTGCCCTTCTTGTGAAGAGTCTGACACCAAACCCCCTGCCAAATGCTGCAAACTACATACATATACTGTTGCATAGACATTTACATAGACATTTTCAATAAGATACGGGCCTAATTCATTATATTAGAATTATGTTAATTCATTATTTATTCAGTATTGACTGAAACCTGTTGCGCAGCTCCATGTGCACTGTGGAAAGCTTCTGCAACATTTGTGAAAAACATGACATTGTGGAAGTGCTATTCACAAACCACTTCCACATGTATGCTGACGTTGTGATGGGAACTACTGTATATAACTGATAATGCAATCTAATTATGCAATGCTCTTTGCCTAGGCGTAATGGCCCTTGTGCTTACACTGGCATAACTTTATGTAATGTCAAAACAAACAAGATTTCAGCCAAGACAACCTACCTTTCCATTACAAAGGATGCTCAATAAAATACAAGCAAAACCAGAATCTCAAAGCATATAAACAAGTAAAGGGGGAAAAAGAGACTGGCGAAACATCAGGAAGAACAGCCTTCGAGGATACAAAGGGGAAAAAACCTCAGTTAAAACCACAGCTATGAAAAGAAATAAACAGCAGTCAATAACCACTTCAAGAACAAACCAGTTTATCTGCCTCCTAATAATAATCGTGTGCCATCAAGTCAATTCTGACTTACGGAGATGTTTTCCAGGGTTTTCCAGGTAGAGAATACTCAGAAGTGGCTTATCATTCCCTTCTTTTTGGGATGCCCTGGAACTATGCATCATGCCGAAGGCCACACAGGCTGGTTGTACTTGCAGAAAGCACAGTGGGGAATCAAACTCCCAACCTCTGGCTCCTCAGCCAGATACGTAAACCAATGAGCTGCTTAGTCACCTTTAACTGCCTAAGATCTCAGCAGTTAAAACCATTGTTGTCTTCCTGGAAAAGGAGAGAGCCAATCTAAACACCTTTGGCATGGATTCCCAGAGCCTTTTGAAAGGCTCTTTCCTACTTTCTAATCTGGTGGTAATCTGCCTCAGAGTAAACCTTCAGAATTAATGGCCTGAAACTTACCCTAACCCTTTTGAGAAAAAGTGGATGTTAAAGACCAGTTCAATAATTCCTTCATTTTACTCAACAAATTGAATGTGACCCTGCAGCTTCTTATTATATACATTGACATATTTTTCACTAGCATGTCAAAATTCTTCTAATTTTTAAGTGAAAGATGGAAATTCAAGCAAAAGTCTGGAAATTTAAGTGAAAGTTTATCTGTGAAGATTCTCAGTCATCCAGGTGTGGTTATCTGGAAGTTGAGTCATGGCAACTGGACTTCTTTCTTGTTAGGTTGAAACATTTCGCTACTCATCCAAGCAGCTTCTTCCGCTCTCCTCAGACTGGAGATGCTACTTGGATGAGTAGCAAAACATTTCAACCTAACAAGAAAGAAGTCCAGTTGCCATGACTCAGCTTCCAGTTAAGTGAAAGTTGTTTTTGTGAAATGTTTACACTTTGTGAACCTTTTTAAAATGGAACAGTGCAATGTAATCTTGTATGTTTTTACTTTAATAGAATAATAAAAATAGTGGATGCAATTGGCTTAAAATTGAACTTCTCGACAGAATCCATTGAACTGACCTCTTCTGCCTTGGCTCTGGCTGTCCTAAAAGTCAACAGCAGTTCCTTTAACAGTGTATCTTTTGCTGTTGAAGATTCCTCAGACCTCCAGGTAAACCCAGTTATCTGCTTTCCTCCAAAAACATGGCAAGGCAAGAATCTGTTTAGGGCCAATCGTACAAATAATTTTTACCTGAAATGGAATATCTTTTCAAAAGCATTGAGTTTAATGGGACTCATTTCCAAATGAGGGAGAATACAGTGGAGTCTTCTTAAATGTTTGGTCTGGGACAGACGGACGGACGGACGGACGGACGGACGGACGGACGGACAGACAGACAGACAGACAGACAGACAGACAGACAGAAAGTGATGATTTTTCAGAGCTTGGGAATTTCACCTAAAATGGCTGACACGTTAGTTTTAGCTGTTACTTTAACATTTTTATAATGTGTTATCATCAGTATTCTTACCAGGTTTGGGAAAACAGATTAGTACCTGTTATTTTTAACCTTTTCAAAATATATTTGAATAATAAGAAAAGGGGGGCACAACATGATACTAAAAATAATGTTCAGTATGTAACAAGTTAGCATTGCCTCCGATTAGTACAGGGGGTGGGCAGTTTCCCCAGGTCTTGGGACCAACTTACCCATCACTCCTGTGACCTTGGAGGGCCACAAGCATGTTCCTCCTAGAATATTTTCCTTATCCCTCTCTCCTTTCTGAAAACGGCAGATGTACTCTAGTGCCCACAGGGAACAATTTGGCTGTTTTTAAATATTCTTAAACTGTCCTAGACTTTGGGCAGAGTTTTTCCCCCCCCAAGAATGTGACTTATGAGTTTGAAAAAGGTTCCCATTTCACAACATAAAACAGCTCACAAGGCTCAAAGTGTAGCAGAATTTCTCCCTTAATTGAAGAATCAAGCTTTGAAAAGGGCTCGTAAGGCCAACTTTTCAAAACAAATTATATAATCTGATCAATCCTACTGTAGTCAGTTTATTTATCCTGCTATTTATTGTGGCTTTCTGACCACAAGCCTTTTTTTATGAGATAATCATAGAAAAGTTTGGTGCTTAGAGAACATAAGAAATAAAATTAAATAAAAACAAAAATGCCTCTCTAAAAAAATTGAAGCTGTAGCATTTGTAATTGCCAGTACTGTAGGAAGAAGATAAGAAAGAGACAAATATGTATCATTTGGAAAATAAACATGTGCATGAGTCTTTAAGAATTCAAAACTGAGTGTGATATTAGACAGCAGGGGTTTTCGAAGACTTAGGGCCTGACCACACAAGGCAAATGTTCCCCACTTCTAAAGGTACTTTATTGTACTTAATTGTGGTCACATGGTATGGACAAACATTCCCATTTGTTTTAATGTTACTGATTCATTTCTTCCTGTTTGTAATGTTGTCAGCAGCTACACCATGGAACTGATTTATTTCCTCTCTTGTTTCCTGGCCCATTGCAGCCCCTTACTTTAATTAAAACAACAACAACAACATTTAGCAATGTTGGGAAGGGGTTACTGTTCAGTAACATTTTATCTGTAGCATTGTAGGCTTTTGAACAAATGCATTGCACACAGTGCATTCCCCTCCCCACCCCACCCCACCCCTGTGCCAGGCTGTGTCACTTGCCAGACAGTAGGTGAAGTCTCTTAAAGCCGTATCAATATACTGTCACAAAAACAATAATTTTTAAAGAGCAGGGTAGCCATGAGGCAATAATGGCAGCCACCTTCCCCAGTGACATGGCGTCGGAAAAAGATCAATAGGGTCGTGCACACATGCCATAGCAGTAGGGAATGAATCGATACATCATCTGAACAAGATAACACAAGCCTCTGGGCTAAGGGGAAATAAACTGCAGTTACACTGCTGGCTTTGGAAAAAGATCAATAGGGTTGTGCACACATGCCATAACAGTAGGGAATGAATTGATACATCATCTGAACAAAATAACACAACCCTCTGGGCAAAGGGGAAATAACTGCAGTTACACTGCTGGCCCAGAAAAATGATATGATAATGACCGTGCATCATGTGACTGGAAATTTATAGAATGATCTAAGTGGGATATAACTAGGGAACATTTGCCTCGTATGATCATGCCCTTAGAACATATGCTTCCTTCAATTGTGGGGAGCTCCTTCTTGTAGTGAAGTCTATAACAACACCTCCTGATGAAATCAAGGGTCTGTGGCCATGTAAGGAAAACAAAAAAATAACTCCTTGACCATTGCTACAAACTGGCTGGCGTGTCTGTGCAATTACAAACATGATGGAAGTGCCCCCTTCTTCATGCTTAGCCGGAGTATAAGTTCCCACATGTTCCACGCATGCATGCTTTCTCTCTTCTACTTTCTCCTCTTCCTCTTGGGTCTTCCCTCTCTCTCTTTCTCTGACCACCCTTTTCTCTTTTATTCTCACTTTGTATCCTCTTTTATATTTCTCTTCCTCCTCTTCTCTTGGTCCCATCCCTATGTAAATGAACTGAGCAATTGCTTTATTCATTTTTGTGAAAGAGGGAACAGGTTGCCCTGTACTGCCAACCCCTGTGTTTTTCCCAAAGGCCCTTTGGGAGAAGAAGCTTCTTTACCATCTAGCTGTGAATGGAAAGGCTACTCTGTTCACTCAATTAAGGATGGAAAAAGTGCTCTGCCCAGATTAGGGTAGGCTTCCAGCCTTCCATCTGTTTTCCTGCCTGTGCAAATAAATGGAGAAATTGATTTACAGTGGTGCCCTGCATAGCAACAATAATCCGTGCAGCAAAAATCACTGCAAAGCAATTTCGTCGCTATGCGGTTTAAAAAAGCCCATAGGAATGCATTGAAACCCCTTCAATGCGTTCCTGTGGGCTGTAAACTCACCTTGAAGCGAAAATCCTCCATACGGCTGCCATTTTCGCTGCTTGGTAAGCGAGGAATTTGGGTGAAAACACAGCGGGCAGCCATTTTCTTAACCTGGTGGCCATTTTGGAACCGCCGATCAGCAGTTGGGAAATCATCGCTATGCGATGATCGGTATGCGAAACAGGGTACCGAGCATCGCAAAGCAATTTTTCCCTATCTAAATCATCGCAATGCGATCGCAAAAGCGATCACAAAAAATTCATCGCTATGTGGATTCGTCGTTAAACGAGGCGCCTGTTAAGCGAGGCACCACTGTACTGTATTCTGTTGTGATGGGAGCCAGATGGATGCCTTAGTCTGGGTGGGCACAGAAGGTATGGGGACCTCAGCACTAGACTACACATAGAACAAAGGATAGGATAGAACAGTCTCCTCGCCTTGTTAAATATATATTTTTATATATTGATTCCTTAAAGGTTACTCTTGGAACACAAGTACCTACAAACAATGTTGGAGCCATTACACTTCCATCCTCAGTAATGTCAAATTTGCCATTTCAAGATAAGCATCTGGCTTCTAGAATTACATTTAACTTTTTTGAGAAGACGACTCTCTTCCAGGTGATATCTCTATATTTAAAATATGCATGAATGTTTGTACTTCAGTGTAAATATTTATACTTCAGTTTAACAAGAGATTTTAATCCCATTAATTAATATGAACATGTGCTTTTTCCAGGATCCTTCACTGAAAAATATGTCTCTGATCAGTCATGTTATATCATCAAGTGTTGCCAACCTCACAATTAACAATCTGAAGACAAATGTTACCGTCACCCTAAAAAGTGCGGGGCCCAGTCAGGTACAAGTAGATTGGGGCAATTAACAAGCTTCTTCTCCATTTATTAGAAATGTGTTTAGAGTAATCACTTCATGTGTTTGGAGTTTTCTTCTACTTATATACCTACTGTATATATTTTTATAATTAATATAACAGAATATTAGAAATGTGTGAACAATTTTCTTTGCAATGCTTGTGCAGTTTCTTAAGTGTATCTAATAATAATAATGTGTTCCTATTTATGGAGACCCTTTCCAGGGTTTTCTTAGATAGTAAGTACTCAGAAGTAGTTTACCGTTCCCTTCTTCTGGGTGCACCCTGAGATTGCGCAACTTGTCCACAACTACACAGGCTGGCTGTTCTCCCAGGAGGTGCAGTGGAGAATTGAGCTCCAGACCCCTAGCTAAACAGCCAGTTATCTAAAACCATTGAGCTATCCAGTCTAAGTGTATCTAGGATACAGTAGTATTTTTGAGTCTGATTATTGAAGTTGCATTTTGCACCAAATTAAATTAAGATAATCTCTCCTCCTAATGAGAGGAAACTGATTAGTCATTTTATTATGAAGATCCTTGTGATGCCCCATCAAGGATTCGGTGTGTGTAGTTAGGAACTCCCAAGTATATGTGCACAAAACAAATCAGAATCACTCCTCTGCCCACCCTTATCACCCCCTTGCTTATTCCATTTCACTACCCTGAACATAACTAGACTCATCTGACTTCAGAATCTAGGCAGGGTCATGTATGCTTAGTACACTAGAGAGTGCTTGTTCACTATGGGGCAGAATAGCAGGGTCATGTATGCTTAGTACACTGTCCAGAGAGTGCTTGTTCACTATGGGGCAGAATAAAAATGTCATACATACACGCTTGCTTGCTTGCTTGCTTGCTTGCTTGCTTGCTTGATTGATTGATTGATTGATTGATTGATTGATTGATTGATTGATTGATTGAATGAATGGAGAATCACTAAGGTATCCCAGGGCTTCCTAGACAGGGCTGAGAAATGGTGCTGACTAAATCACTGGAGAAAAGCTGCTGTCAATCAGAGTTGATAATACTCAGCTTGGTGGACCAATGATCTTGTTCAGTAGAAAGCAGCTTCCAAGATTTCTGTGTTCCAGACCCTTCCAGCTTACCCTGGGCAGGTTAAAGGGGAGGTGGCTCCTGCCCCTCAGTGGGCCTCCTTTTCTTCTGAAACAAACACATGTACCCGTGTTCATGAAAGAAAAATGGCAGTATTTGTGCCAGTTTCTGCTATTGTTGGGGGAAATGGGCATGATTGGCGTCACTTTTCCCAGCAGTGCTGGGTGTATCCTCAGCACATATTAATTGGCAGGAACGAATGCTCCATAGAAGAGTTGGCTCTATAGCAAAGGAGGGGCAAATAAGGAGACACTTCAATGTATTTATGTGTGCAAAACATACAGACTAGATTTACTGATATGCAAGCAAAAGTGTATCTTTATTTTGAATGTATTATTCATTATGGAGGACATGGTTTAATTCCAAAATGCCTTCAAGATGAGTAAGTAATCTTATTTTTCTCTCTCCAAACAGGATAATTCAACAGTAAGATGTGCCTTCTGGGACTTCACTAAAAATGGTATATCTGTGAGGTCATTCCTTTTAACCTGCATTAATTTTATAGTAGTTTAAAACTCTGCCAGTTCTATTTTGATAATGGAAGCTTCTGATTTCTGGCAGGTGGTGTTGGGGGCTGGGCATATGAAGGCTGTGTAGTTAAAGAGAGAAGAAGCAATGAAACCGTCTGTAGCTGCAACCACCTCACAAGCTTTGGAGTTTTACTGGTAATGGGTGCACTAACTACATAACTGAAAATTGCATAGCAGCTCAATATATCCCTAGGTTTTCAAAGTGGATTTCTGTATTTATTTATTTATTTATTCCATTTATACCCCGCCTGTCTGGTCATATTGATCACTCTAGGCGGCTGTATGACAGTAGCCCCCTCTCCATGAGCTTTACCAAACTTCAAGCTTCTTTCAAAGTACTTTTATATATAGTACCTAGATTGAAATTTTAAAATATTAATGCCTTGCTAAACTTTCAGGAACTATATTTCATTTATGGGAGGGAGAGAGAAAGAAATGCCCCAGTTCAAGCTACCACGTGTGCTAGTTAAGCCAACATATGTACACATTTCATGCTCATATATTGGTCAAGTGTGCCTTCCTGGGGTCCACAAGGACCCTGAGCACCCCCACCCTGGACATTACCCATTTTCATAATCATTATTGTCATCATAATCTTAGACCTGCTGAGCTGGAAGCGATCCTGTGGTTTACATACCTGAACCACTGAGCTGTTGTTGTTGTTGAAAAAGTCCCTTTATATTCTCTAGAGTAGGGATCCCCAACACCTGGTCCGCGGCAGGACCTGGCTGCAGAGACAGATCTCCCCCCCGCATGCACAGAAGTACATACACACACAGATGCACGCACCACCCCGCATGCACAGATACCCCCCCTACATGCACACTAAACTGGTCTGCGGTGCCAGAAAGGTTGGAGACCACTGCTCTAGAACAGTGGTTCTCAAACTTAGGTCTCCAGATGTTCTTGGACGGCAAGAAATCCTGGCCAGCACAGGAAAAGGTGAAGGCTTCTGAGAATTGCAATTCAAGAACATCTGGGGACCCTAGATTGAGAAGAGCACATGGGAGCAATCTTACCGCATTTGTTTTAGGCTCAGTATGAGCACTGCCCCCAAAACTGGAAGTGACTTCTAGTTATGTCCAGTTTTGTTGGGAGAGCATCCCATCCTGGGCCTTAGACTGCAGTTTTCTTGCTTAGGGTGTGAAAACATGGCAGCATTTGCCCTTGTTTATGGCAGATTTTTTTTAAAAAAAAATGGTAGGTGTAGGCAGAGTATAAGGGGGTGCATTCCTCCAAGGTCTGGGATGTCCATTGTGTCCTGTGGATTTTTGGAAATCACACACTCCTGTTGTGTACACTGTCCTCAAATTGCTCCTTACATATTGTTTTTTTAAATAGTTAAGACTTCCAGAGTTAATTTGTTAAAAGTTTTTCATTACATGTGAAATATGGATTATCGGTATAGGAAGAAACTAAGATCTTAAAATAGCTTTAAACAGTGATTTGAAGGTCTGTTCCACTTATGGTTGTCTGGACTGGATGTAATAAGAAATTATGATTTATGATGCCAGGAAATTATGAGCCTTAAGAGAGGAGGGAAGGGCTAGCACAAGGACAGTAATGCAGAAAGCCAAGGCTTGTATAATTTATATGTCAGCTTATTTAGTCAAAAGCTGTATTCCATTGATGAGAGCAGAAAAACATATATGTTATAATCTTTCCTATATTCAGAAATATTTAGTACAGTTTTTAAAAAAATTGGAATGCTATATTTCTATTTAGCTGAAGTATTTCTTGCTTTAGGTTTTATTACAAAAATAAGCTACAATTTTCAAGGAACATCTTTTCTTTGCATATATAAAAAGAAAGTTTTTTCCTCTTGTTTTCTTTTTCAGGATTTATCGAGAAATATCACTATACCCGCTATTCAAGTGCTAATTTTAACTTTCATCACCTACATTGGTTGTGGTCTTTCAGCCATTTTTCTTTCCATTACCCTTGTTACATACATTGCATTCGAGTAAGTACCTTCCCAACCCAAATTATAAAATGCAAGTCATTACTTTTATGTACCTTTGATATAGGTATAATGAAACTGAAGGACTTCCTGCACTGCTGAAGGGCATTGGTACAGTATTTTCTTTTAAAAGAATAATTTAAAAAGAATAGCTATAAACAATCTTGTATTATCACAGTTTTTCTTTTCTTTAGCAGCTAAGCAACTTTAGCTGGAGATCAAAGGTTAAGACAGAAAAATGTCACAGAAGACATAGAATTTTAAGAAGAGATGAAATTGATGGCTAAAGTCCTATTAGTTATGCTTGCCAGCTTACTGTGTTTGAAATAAATCTCAGTGGTGAAGAAGTCTAGGCTATTTGCTGTGGCGCAACTCAGCACACAGGAGCAAACACTGGCCTCTTAACATCCACCAATTCTTTGTGATATTTGTGCCGATTGTGTTACATTGGAATAAAAACATAATACAGTACAATTCTGGCCACTGTATCCTGGAATGTTGCCCCCAAGACCCAGTGACATATTGTGAGGGAGTAGCCACTGGTGGCCTGGGCAGTCTATCTGCCCTTGTCTTGCCTGCCTGCCTGGGGAGGCTCTGGGAGGTAGGGGAAAGGGAAGGCAGCTGTCTACAGAGAAGCTGACTGATGAGGGGCACCTGAAAAGGGAGGGGGATGAGGTGGCAACCAGAATAAAGGAGGAGGAACAAGAGGACTCAGGAGCTTCCCTGAGAGGATCAGAGGGAGACATGGCAACCTCGGAAACACAAGAGGCCTGGTGGGAGGCTGTCAAGGCTTGTGACCTCCTTGGGAGAGGTGGAAAGCAGGTGGGAGGAGGAACCCCAAGCAGAAGTTCCTCAGTGCCACTTTCCTGTCCTTGGTACCCACGCCATCCAGTGAAAGCAGCAGTGCTGCTTTGGTCCACTGCGGTGCTGGCAATGAAGGCACCAGCACAAGAGACAGAGGAGGCTCCAGGAGGAGCCAAAGAGTGAACCCTTCCGCCCTCTGCCCGTCTCCAGTGGCCATATTTAAAAGGACTCTGATCAGGGCAGGCCTCTGACTAGGGCTACGACTCCTCTTCCTCTCTGTTTTTAGAAGGCAAAGACTTTCAGGGGCCTTGTGCCCTCTCAAAAGGACATTGCCTGGGAGGTTAGTGCAAGGATCTCAAATGCCAGGAAGCATATTGAGAGAGTTAAAGCCTCCGTTTTCTGTTCCTGTGTGTCTGTTCAGGGGAAATAAAGGCTGATGGTGATTATTCTTACAACTTGGAACTGGGAGACCTTGCGGCTGCCAGTATCACCAGGGCTGGGACCGACAGCTCTCACACATATACAAAGGAGTGGTTTGCACAATTCACACATCATATGCCAGCCTTTCCCAGCCTGTGTAATCGGTTGTGCTGGCTGGGGATAATGGGTGTTATAATTTGTGACCCAGAAAGACCATTTGGATTGCTTGCGACACAAAGATGTCTGCCACATATGGAGGGCACCAGATTAAGAAGAGTCGCCACATAGCATGGCTTTCCAATTTGCTTTGCCTGCAGAAGCATTTCAGGCAAATTTACAATTAGACAACTCTTGCGACCCAGTAATTTGACTCTGTCCAGGCAAACAATCCTCCTACAACAACCTTCTACTTCCAGTCAGTCCTTTTTACTCATTTGGCTTCTGTCTTGTTTCTTGAAGCATATATTGTTTTGAATTATATCTAATATTGAACAACATGTATGTTTAATATTTAATATAAGAGATGATTGAGCACCTTACTGCATGTCTTTTCAAACATAATACTAGAGGATTACTGGAGAAAATGCATCACTTGTAGCATTTCATTTATTTCTTTTACAGGAAAATCAGAAGAGATTATCCCTCTAAAATCCTTATCCAGCTATGTGTTGCCTTGCTCCTGCTGAACCTAGTTTTCCTCCTGGATTCCTGGATTGCTCTGTATGAAAACAAAAAACTGTGCATATCAGTTGCTGTGTTTCTCCATTATTTCCTTTTGGTTTCCTTCACTTGGATGGGACTTGAAGCTTTTCACATGTATCTTGCCCTTGTTAAAGTGTTCAATACTTATGTTAGGAAATACATTTTGAAGTTCTGCGTTGTTGGCTGGGGTAGGTATATATTTTCCTGTATTTCTCTTTGTTATAGGTATTATTTATCTCCAATTTGTTTAGTGACTAGAAAGTGTTCTGTGTATGCTCAATTGTAGAGTAGACCTATTGAAATCAGTGGGATAAATTGGATTAATTTATTTTGCTTTCAGTGGGTCTGTTCTGAGAAGGATTAAATCTAGATCTAGCCTTATGTGTTGTGGTGGGCATGGAGTTGGAACTGGAGAAGGATGCATTAAGATAGATTCAAATAATCTTTTGCAGAACTTGGTTACAGTCTTTATCCTATTCCCTTCCTTGTAGCTGCATTTTAGTTCAACCTTCCTATCCCCGGTGCTGGGAAGAATAGCTTCCCTGTGCCTGTTCTGAGTCATCAAGGTGTGGTATCTGCTCCTACAAAAATGCACATTGTATTCATTGGCTTGAAGGTTGTTAATCAAGTACATTAATTCACTTATATATGTTTTAAAATATGTTCTCTAGAAAACGTATAATACAATAGGCAACTGTTTTAAAGATTACACAGATTGGTTGTTGTGGGTTTTTCGAGCTCTTTGGCCGTGTTCTGAGGGTTGCTCTTCCTAACGTACACAGATTATTTGCACAAGGTGATCAGTGAAAATTGTTGAGAATTCTGTCTTAATGGTAATGAGCAGAGTGATGAGTGCAGCCTGACTTGTTACTCCCATTTGGCTGCTCCTGTAAAAAGAAGGAGTTATGATCCATGGCTTCTCTCCCATACAATAAGACAAATTTTGAGGTTTGCTAATGGATCCAAGCTTGTTAGAGGAAAGTTAAAATTGGGGACCTGGGCTCAGATATGGTGATATAGTGGACCCAGGGCTTACAGGGTGGAGGTTCAAGAACTTTCTGATTAAAAGTTACATTGTCCACCACACTATTCAGGCTTCACTGCTCTCTCTCAGCTTAGCTGCGATCATCACATCATGCAGATGAGAAATGTTGCCTATTTGATGGTGGTTTGGCCTTAAGTGGGCAATTGAATGGGATGAGAGCCATTAATCTTATCAGAGGCCTACTTCTCATTTTTTATATGAACTCAACCAAGTACATTCATTTGGGGACTCTCCTTATATGGAGGGTGACCATGGAGACTATCATGATGAGCCTTTGGACTTCCAAATTTACCATCACACCACTGTTTAGTTGTAATGCTAGTTACCCCGTGGTCACGTTTCCTCTTCCAGTTTGCGGGAAGAAAACAGACAACATATGGTAGTGCACTGCTAATTTCTAGTAAGGTAAAATTCTCACTAATTTTAGCCTAAAGGTTTGTGTGACCATGGCCAATGTATATTAAGTGATCTAAATATGTGAAATGCACTAGATAAGTCTTTATTATAGTTTCTGTTGTTGTAGTTACTCATAATAGGTTGAATCCACTGAAGAGTGACTAGAAATTCTGCACAATAGGAATTTCCTGATTCCTCCCATCCAAAAAAGCCTGTCCCTGAGAAGCTGTTCTGAGAGGGTAATGGACCTGGTGGAACTGCATGAGAAAGTGTGCTGAGGCGGGTTAAGTAGGATGAGAGAGAATGGGGGCCTTGCCCAGGGCTGTCTTGCAAACAGTCAAGTGCTTTTCTCCTCTGACAAGACATCTCAGGATGATGGGCAAAGTGTCTTTTTCAAAGAAACATGTTTTGGTTATATGTGCAGCTCCCCAGGGTAGACCGGTGGATTTTATTTTATTTTTTTGCTCTCAGGCCTCCAGAGGTTGTCCAGCCTCAGCCTAAACGCTTAATGGTGTAATTCTCACTATTCCCCCAAAACTATGTAATGACCTTTTCTCTTTCAGGGGTACCAGCAATAGTCATAGTCATTGTGTTGGCAATATCTCCAGATAACTATGGACTGGACTCATATGGAAAGTTTCCCAATGGTTCATCTGATGAATTGTAAGCCAAAAAAGAGGCAAATGTTATTTATTTTAGTAATGCATGTTCAGCAATAAATGAAAAAGCAAAAGTAGGCATGCAATCCATGAGCAGAAACAACATTTTAGATTAACTAATAATAAATTTATTAATTAATCAGAACTAAGAAGTTGCAAACAGGGTGAGCTTTTGTGATTTGCAGAACTATTCTTTTCTAGAGAACGTGAAAACCTAGAATTGTTTGTAAGTTTTTAATGCTTCTACAAAAGCAAATTTCAAACCAGTAGTTTTCAACTCAGAATAGTAATGTACAAGTATTTTTTTAATCTTTGGAAATGCATTTAAAATAACCCCAGTGTTATATGTATGATGACTTGAGTACCACACATTAACTTGAGTGTTTAAAGTTTAGACAGCAGAAAATTGAGAGAATCAAACCTTGAAAATGTGCATATTTTGATTTTTGTTTAAATTGGATAGTAGAAAGAAATAAGTGGTTGTTCTGGGTTTTTCGGGCTCTTTGGCCGTGTTCTGAAGAAAGAAATAAGCTTTACTGTAGTGGGTACTTTTTTCTTTGTACAAAATCCAAAAAAAGTGATGAATAAAAAAAGCATTAAAGTGAAAATCTCGTTAAGAAATTTTAATTTTTATTAATGAAAGCGTACTAGTTATTAACTGCAACTAACAGAGGTATACACACAGTATATAAACCTCAAATGAAGTCTGAACTCTCACTAGAAGCTAAAATGGCCATACTGCGGGGAAAAGGTGCTGTGAAGTTGCACCCAGAAAGTCAAGTTTCTATGGATTAATTTGCTTCAGCCAACCACATAAGAGTCATCAGAGAAGGAGGAAGAAATAAGCCTTGTCTGCAGCTTGTGATGTTTGAATCCTCTCCTCCCTACACCTAGTGCATAGAGCTGCTTGTTTACCTCTTCCCTTCTATTTCTTTATTTTCTATTTCTTTTCTTTTTTTAAGGGTTGCTGGCCTATTGCTAGAACAGCTAGGTGACCAAAGAGGGGGTGGGGGAGTGAAGAATCAGCAGAAAAACAGGAGGAAGTTTTCAATTTAGCTTGTTAAGATAGTTGTGCTCTGGCTGTCCAGATCTACAGGAGGCACAGTGAGAGCAAAGCTACCTTAAAGCTTCCTCCTCTCTTGTTGCCAATTCCTTGCTCTTTTTCCCCCTTTGGTTGCCTAGCTGCCCCTGTGCAAGATTAGCAAGTCTTTAAAAGGAAAAGGAAAAGAGTGGGAAGATTAAAGCAGACCCTGGCACCAGATGTGGGGAAGAGAGGATTCAAATGGCAGCCAGTTTCCCTGCTGCCTTCTCACTCTCATTGATGCTAGAAAGTTGGAACAGCTTTAAATACAACAGGTACAGACTCCTCCACATTGGCTGAAGCAAGGACACAATCTGAACTAATGCAAATGCATTAGAATCCAAAAAAGTAGAGACCCCAGTGGCGGAGGAAGAGACTACAGTGGTGCCCCGTATAGCGAGGTTGATCCGTTCCGGATTAACCTTCGCTATACGAAAACATCGCTGTGCGGGTAAGCAAAGCCTATTGGAACACATTAAACTTAGTTTAATGCATTCCAATAAGCGTGGAAACTTACCTCTCCAGCGATGTTTTCGCTCCGGCGGGCCATCCGCGGGCGATCCGATGGCCCGAAATGCCCCCCCGCAGCGTTTTTGCGACCTCCGTAAGCAAGGGGAGGGCGCGAAAACACTGATAGGGGCCATTTCGGGTCATGCGGCGGCCATTTTGGAGCCGCCGATCAGCTATATGGATTCTTCGTTAAACGGTGCGCTCGTTAAGCGAGGCACCACTGTATATGGAGCAGGAGGGGACTCTGGGCTGATTTGCATTGATGTTTAGGTTATATAGTCAACAGAAAACGTGAATCAGAATGCCCCAGTTCCAGAGCATTTTCCACATTATTTATCAATGTACTCATGCCCTGAGGCTATCATATTGCAAGATTCAAAGACAGTGGCTGAAATCTTTTTGCCTTAGGCTGAAGCAAGGACACCTTCTGAACTAATGCAAATGCATTAGAATCCAAAAAAGTAGAGACCCCAGTGGCGGAGGAAAAGACTATATGGAGCAGGAGGGGACTCTGGGCTGATTTGCATTGACGTTTAGGTTATATAGTCAACAGAAAACAATGTGAATCAGAATGCCCCAGTCCCAGAGCATTTTCCACATTATTTGTCAATGTACTCATGCCCTGAGGCTATCATATTGCAAGATTCAAAGACAGTGGCTGAAATCTTTTTGCCTTACAGTGGGGTCTTGACTTGAGAACTTAATTCATATTGGAAGGCGGTTCTCAAGTCAAAAAGTCTGTAAGTCAAGCCGTCTGTAAGTCAAGGGTCCACTGTATATGTAATGCTGGAAGAAAGAGCCTGTTTAAAGGTGGGGACAACTGGTCAAATGCAACTTTCAGCATTTTATCATATGTCTTTTCCTTTTCAGCCTGTCTATGATACTGATTGATGCTTTTTTTCATTTCTCTGTTTTGTATTTTTAGCTGCTGGATTAACAGTGATATTATTTTTTACATCACTGTTGTGGGATACTTCTGCATCATATTCTTATTAAATATCAGCATGTTTATTGTTGTGCTGATTCAGCTTTGCAGAATCAAAAAGAAGAAACAACTTGGTGCCCAGCGAAAAACCAGTATTCAAGATCTCAGAAGTGTTGCTGGTCTTACTTTTCTACTAGGAGTTACTTGGGGATTTGCCTTTTTTGCATGGGGTCCTGTAAATCTTGTATTTATGTATCTCTTTGCCATCTTTAACACTTTGCAAGGTATGTACTTAATTTTGGACATAGAAAACAATAAGTGTATATTAAACTGATAATAATAATTGTTGAATGCCACCTCGGCGTGGCGTTCAACAAGATAATAATGACCATTATTATTAAACAGATAATAAATAATTACATAAACAGATAAACAGATAATAAATATTTACATAAAATAGTAAGAAAAATTAGTTCTATCTGGGTTCGTAAAAAGTTATCTCATACTGATATTTAATTAACAGAATATAGCTGTAGCTGTATTCAAAACACTTTTTATGTAATAGTTCCATTAAATATTTAAGGAGCCATGTGTTCATTCTTAATTTCACTAGTCCAGAATGGCCAACAGTTTAATGAGTTTTCCATATCAGATATTTCCTATACTGATGTTATCTGATGTTGTAGTTAGGACATTATTGGAAGATAGTAGGTTGCAATGAGAGTGAAACAAGAGTTTGCATCTTTTGGTTTAATACATAAATTCTGTCAAAAGCATCATTTAATAAATGTGAAAAAATATAGCACTTCAAGAAATGTAAGAAAATGTCAGATTAAAATGCAGGAAAGTATTGGGAATATTTTGTTTATAGCAGTACACAAAATGCTGCAATGAGAACACCTCTATCATCAATACCAAGCTGTAATTACAGGCAAAATTCATTTTGCTCTCATCCAGAACCTGTAAAGTTTTATACTTCACACAAATATTTTGAACATGCACACCAGCACATGTATTTAAACTTTTTGTAAGAGAATAGTAAACATATTCCTCCCTTCTTTCCTCCTTTTTAAAAAAAATTATTTCATTGGTATTATTTACACAATAATATATCTTCTGTGATAATAATGGGAGTTTAGTTGTGTGAAATGACCTCATCCTTCCACTATGCAAATGCAATTTCATCATCAGGGAAGAAAGCTACCCTTTGGTAGTGAATGGGATGATTTTGCAACTTTATTTAAAATTGGTAAGCAGAATAAATTCAGTGGTATCAAATGTGAAACACATTATTTTGCAGGTTTTTTTATTTTTATCTTCTACTGCGTAGCGAAGGAGAATGTTAGGAAGCAATGGAGAAGATACCTGTGTTGTGGGAAGTACAGACTGGCTGAAAATTCCGGTACATATTAAAACATTGTTATTTGTAATCGTACAGTGCACAATGATAGTAAGACGGAGTGAAAAGTCTCATGCTTCAACGGAAAAGCACTTCCACTTGTGGAAGACAACCCTCCAGTTCTACTGATACCTCAGAACCTGTGCTGTCACATTGTGCAATCATGGATAAGTCCTGTAGATGTATGGTTATTCACACTTTCCACTGAATGTGAGGTGGTTGTTGGCACATCTAATAGTGTTGTCCTGCTTTTCTGCATCTTCTCCAGCAATGTTAATCAAAGCAGATCTGAAGAATTGAACAGGGGTTCTGTGCGCGCGCAGAAAGAAGTAGATGAGATGGATTCCATTTACAGAGAGACTTGAAATGTAAAGCCAGTATCAGCAATAACAATAATAATGCTAATTTTACAAAGAACTAGCAAAATTCAGAACTGTAAAATCACAGAGAATAAATATGGATTGCAAATCTAGATTTAGAATTAAATTCTACAGTATTTCTGAATTGAACTTTTAACATACTACTATTTCTCTTCCCCTTATTCTACTGGAGATTGGAGTAGAACAGCTACTAATGGGTTAAAGAAGCAGAATGTTAACCAGGGTGTATCCAGTTCTTCCCACTCCTTACAATCAAACAGCAACTCCACTAATTCCACCTCAATGCTGATGAATAATGATCATTCAGTACACGCAAATGGGAATGGTATGTATAAATTAAAATATTCAGTCCCCCCCTCCCAAAGCTATATTATATGTTAAGTGGCTGTATATAATAAGAGAAATGAAACAATGGCTCAGTTGTAAATTCATAAAAAAACACATTATTCCAACAAGCATTTTATTCATTCATTTATTTTATTGCATACATTTATATCCCACATTTCATCCAAATAGTCCAATGCAACAGACATATTCCTCTATCTTCATGTTCACAATAACTTTGTAAGGTAGGGCTGGGCCAAAAGCTAGTGATTGGCTCCAAGGTCACTCACTGAGTTGAATCAAGAAGTGCAGATTTGAACAAAGGCCTCGCAAGTTCCAGTCCAACACTTTAAGAACTACACCTACACTGGCTATACCATGCTGGCATATGCCTCTATAGCATATATAGCTTCCTATATCACACTTGTTATTTTGATAATATTTCATGATCTGCTTATTGAAATGTATTGGAGATTCTATTTTAACTCTTATATTTATTCTCTATATGACTAAAGAAAGTACTGTACTAGGTGATGCTCCACAGCATCAGAATGGTCCGAGAAAGTTGACTCAGTGAAAAGCATGTATGTTGGTTTACTCTGGCTCCTACTCAATAGACAGAAGCAAACAAGAGTAATTTAAAATTGTGACTATATATTGGCTGTGTTTGAATGTGAAACTAGGAGTGCTTGAAATATTGCACAGTGACTTCCGAGGTCTTTGCCACATTCTATATTTGACCTAAGGTAGGTGCTCAAGAGTACAGATCAATAATAAATTGGAGTCTCATGGATCCAAGGCAGGCAGACGCAAAACCAACCATGTCTTGTTGGCTCTGTTAAGGGCTGTCCATAAGATTTCACAACACTATAATTGTTTTCACAACAATTAAACCCTCATTTTCATGGTGTGTACTACTGTGGTTAAAAGTAAGACATGCATGTGTGGAGCCATTTCTCAGGACCAATTTATATGTTACTTGGGAGATAACTGCATGTGGCAGTATCTTTTATAACTAAGAGCCTGCGGATATCACATCTGGAAGGGCCCACAGAAGACTCCAGTTCTTTATACCATACAGAAAAATATAAAATATGAAACTGGACCTTAGTTCGCAAGGAATCAAACTGCTCCTAAGGGCCAGTGACTTGCCACAGCTGACAAACATTTCTAACAATCATTTTGCTTAACATTTCAGGTAATGCCCCTAGTGAGAAGAATGGAGTTTCTTTCAATGTGCAGAATGGTGAAGTACAACTTCCTGACTTTTCAGGAAAACAATTTGTATTACAGGAAAATAATGACACCGGCCTTAAAAAATCTTGTATTTCTTTGAGAAGGACTTCAAAGAGGGGGAGCCTGCATTTCATTGAACCTATGTGATATTTTAAAAAGGAGTCTTCATTCTAAATCCAGTAATGACATACAGGCTTATTTTCATTGTTTTATATGATGTAAGAAGACTAAGAAGGACATTATTTAATATATAATAGCAAAGCTTCAAGGCAGCCTCAAATGATCAAGACTTTGTATTTTTATTTTCTTTTAACATCAGTGATACTGAAAAGGTACTTTAGACAAAGCACTATGGCTAGAAAACATGGTTAGCATAATCTGCTTTTTTTAAAGATAAGATGTAGAAGATATTTTTGCAATTTAATTATAAAGTTGAAAGTTAAGAAAAACTCAAAACATTGTGTAGTAAAGTTGTACTGATACAGAAAACAACAAACTAAATGTCAAAAGAGATGCTTAAATTCTCTTTCAAAATAATATGTCTATATTATTTCCTTCCATTACGATGTAGCCACATACATCGGAGTATGTATATAGACAAAACAACATCTACCTTTGATTATGTTATTATTTTATATTTATTTCTTGTAAATTAAATTTATTATTCATTTGTACAGAAAAATATGCATGTGTAGTCTTGAAGCTTTATTGCAATTATAATTTGGTACAAAGTTTATGATTTCAGTTAGATTTACATTTAAAGCTTGTCCTAGATAGATAGCCATGGAAGTCTCATATTGAAAACAACAGAGACTCTTGTGGTATCTTAAAGATTAACAGTATTTATTATAACTTTTCATGGACTATAGATCTCTTCATTAATCCTTTTTGTTACATAACTTTAATCCAATATAATTTGGTAAGAGCAATGTTGGAAGAACATGTAAAATGCAAAAGGGATTTCTCTAAAAATATAGAATCTCTGTTTGCTGCTTGATCAGGTTTATCACAATTAAAAGTGCCATATGAAAGGCTAATATCATACTTTTTAAAAAATCCCTGTAATTCTAAGACTGTTAGTGCTAAATCTATTACTGTCTTCCCTAGAATAGTATAGCAGTATTAAAATAAAGCCAGTTATACAGGCTGAGGCTTGAAATGTGCTTCAGATAGTGAGCATCCCATGAAATTCATTGGGGGAATGAATTGCAAGGGAAATCCATCCTTCATTGCTCTTTTTGAAGGGACAACTTTCTATTACTCTCAAGGCAACAATTGCAGGGAGGAACATCCGCAAGCATGACTTAATTCTTCCAGGACTATTGTATCCCCTAACTGATGAAAGATATGGACATGAGCCATCCATGGCTGGAAACAGGTTGGGGAATGTGGTGAAGTGCAGAATAATTTTCACAAACAGTATTTCCCTGCAAGGAATGGGAGTCCACCCTACCTGCAGATTTAGCTTTCAGAACCTCTGTGTGAGACAGAATAATTCTATTATAAGTATAGAACAGCAGTTTTTCCCAGCCAAGCCAATGAAGGCCCTTCTGTTGAGAACTTATATTCTTTGTCATTTGTCAATCAGTGCTTTATCATGAAAGCTACAAAGTTACTTATTAAGTTTACCTTTCTCTGAATTAATTCAACATGAATGAATAATTATATTAATTCTTAGTCTGTATGAACACTATCTTATATAGACGGAAAACTCAAGGACCATTCTCAGAGGAGGATGACTATTAGGCCACACGTAGATGATATAAATACTGCATGCTTTATAATACTGTAATCTCATATTTTACAGTAGAATATGGGGATAGGAGGTCCTTGAATCAGATCAGTGTCAGCAGTCATTCACAGGGAATATTTTGTTTCTTTAAGGCTAACAAGCCAAGATTTTTCAAATGCCTCAGAGATTCAACTGGACCTAAGCAGACTAATATTGGTATGGCTTCTTATCAGCATGTGTCCAAATAGCTGAATAAAGCAACAATTCATATTTTTATTTTATGGTTATAATTTTCCATCCCAGCCCTAGACCGTTTGAATGCTAATATGTATAGACAGTGGCAGTTAAAATTTTATTCATCAGAAGCCCAGGAATGAAATAACATGAATAGAGTAGCCAGATGATATTCTTTAAAGGGTTATAAATAAAGCTGTGACTACACTGTGTTTGATTCACAACCTGTATTATAATCGAATTTGAGGTCAGTGATCACACAGGGGCTACAGATTGATTCTGGACTTCAGTGTTCACACTCGATGCAATGTGATTCGCATCTCAGTCTACAGTTTCTCCTTCTTTCCTTCCTTCCTCTGGTCCTGCCTCAGTTGATCCTTTTATGGTTTGCTATCAAGCCGCTTGGTTTTTAAAGGGTTGTACAGTGTTCTGGAAAGGATGGCAACATTCCAAACTTCTTCTTAACCTGTACAGAAATACCATATACCAGAGGAGTGTCTTTTGTCTCTTTTCTTCATATTTTTAAAACATTTTTTTACCAGAAGTGATCTAGCATTAAACTTATCACATTAATACTAGTACTCTAGCATTAATCTTAAATATGTAAAATAAAATTTAAAAAGAGGACAATTGAGAGGAAAGAACATGGAGGCAGGTGTTTCTGTAGTCCTGAACATCATGCCCCAACTGCCTGCGTTGTCAAAACACCACCTATAGATGTGCCTCCAGTCCTTACAGGAACAAATCAACTGACCACATGGGGAAAAGTCCATTGAAATTGCTCCAGCTTGAAAAAAGGAGAAGACCCCAGCAGCGGGGTTGGGGGGAGCTGTATTGGGAGCAAAAAGAGTCGGATTGATTCAAATTTGTCTTTATGTGACATGATCAGGGGAAAATAATTCAAGTCAATTCATACTATAACTGCAGGAAATCCTGCAGAAATTGATTGTGTAATGATAGCCTAAAAGGGAATTTCAGCAGGTGTGTACCTTGGCAAGAACATTTAACCTGCTGAATAAATGCCTTCTACATAATTTTGAACTGTGCAGGAAGCTTTTGAACCTGGCCACTCTAGACAGTAGGAAACAGGAGATTGTAGACCACAGGTATCCTGACTATTGCAGGAGTTAGTCCTAGCTGTAAATTCCTGCCATGTAAAGATAATGAAACCAGTTTATGACTTGTAATATGACTTGTAATTGCATTTTTGTTCTAATTTCAGTGGCTGGCTTGTTGAATTTACAGAGCTTTAAAAAGTATTTATTCTTCTGTTGTCTGTTTTTTTTTAAATTTCAAACACATAGAATGTTTGTAACTTTTTAATAAATCTGGTTTGTAATAAGAAATGTGTATGGTAGCATATAATCTTGTACTCTGCACTGCTACTTTATCAGAAATCTAAATGGAAAATCTATCTCTAGCTCTAGAACTAGCTGTGAGAGACCCATCCTGGTTGTGCACAAGAGGAATGCCAACCTGAAATAGCTATACGTACACATATTTTAAGCCCTGAATGTTACTGATCTAAGCTCCTACCACGTTACATTTTTGGATTACAACTCTCACAATACCTGAAGCAGCATGATAAAAGACCATGCTCTCTATGGTATTATGGGAGCTGTAGTTGAAAACAGTATCTTCTGTCTTTCTATGAACTAAACTTTATCTCAGGTTTAAAGTGGCAGTTATGGAAGTGACAGCTAGTGAATACTTGCAGTGTTCTTAATAGAATACCAGATATTCCATGTAGATCTGGTAAAGTGTCAGACATTGGGCAATGGGTGGAGCAAATAGTACCGTTTGAAAGTAGCCTTTTTTTGGACTATAATTCCCAGAATTCCCTAGTTGGTGTGGCTGTGCTGCCCAGGGGAATCTGAGGTAGAGAGGGGACTATAGGCTGCTTCTGAGTTGACTGACATCCACTCCAGTCCAGAAAGGGCCCTCCGAGCCAAAAGCTCTCAAAGGTATCATATGTAAGTTGCAACATATCCAAGATGAGAATGGCTCAATTTTATAATCACAGCGATCTTCCAAGCACAGCATTTGTTTCCCTCCTTTATTGTTACTTGATGGTAGGAGATCATGGGATTTACTGGGACTCAAAACCCTCAGTATTGACAATTTAGCAGTACTAGTACTTCAGTGCTTGTCAACACCTCACCCCACCCTATCTTTTGAAGACTACAATAAATAATAGTTTGCTTTACTGGCCAATTCTTTGTTAAAACAGGGGAAAAGTGCAAGGGTGTGCCTGGGATTTTCATGTGGCTCCCTTCTCCATGGCAGCAGGCAAGCTAGCACAAGGCAGGATAAGGAAGCAGCTGCGAGCAAGCAGTTGTGTATCTTACATAATGGCGATCTTGAAGCTCAACAGGCTAAATTTCAGGGAATGGAGAAGAAAACCTGATTCTCATTTCCAGAAAAGCAACAGCCTGCAATCAGTCTGTGCTGAACTTGTACTTCCCTGCTAAAATGGCAAATAAGTACCACAAGGCTATATGTATTAAAGATAATATAAAACAGCACAAAAAGATAAACAAGAGTTTGGGGAAGAAGGAAAGGATACAGGGACTTGGTGGTGGCAGTGTTTCTGGCACAAAGAGAGATAAGAGAAACATTTAGAGACGTGGGGAAAGTTCCAATAAGATCAGTGCAGAACCTGAAAGAAAAGTGGAAGCAAATGCTATGGCTGGAAGAGCCCTTAGTTAATAGTTGTTGAGAGACTTATCTGCTATGAATTTATTTAACCCCTTTTAAAAGAGAGCTAAGCTAGTAGGTAACACCTTGCATATAGAAATGTTTCTCTTAGAAAGAATCTACGCATATAGGCTCACAGAGGGAATGTCAGTTACCTCATCAGCTGGCCGTCTGGCTTTTGAATCTCTCCCAACAAGCTGAATTTGCTTTGACACTTGGGCCTGACTTAATAGACTTCACAAGAATGCTATAATTTCCAGTCCACATTGTGATCAGATACAATTGGAGAACAAGAGATGGGGAAGGCTAATTTAAAGAGGCACCCTATCTCTACTGGCCGTACAAACATGAGTATAAGCAGGACCAATCATATTGTGGTACATAATACGTACACTTTACTGTTATGGCAATAAACAGAGGTCAGATAGGATTAGAAGAAAACAACAAAGATTTCTGATTCCCATTTCCTTAACAATAGCAATAACAAATATCCCCACCTTTAGCCTTCTGCCTGGAACAAAGTCAACTTTAGGAAAAACAAGGCAAATTCTTATATTAATGGACTCTGAGCTCAGTTCTGACATAGTTCTAGTACTGGAAACAATTTCCTAGCTAAACAGCCAGTCCCTTAATACTAAGTATATACAGTATATGTCTGTGTCCTCCTGCATCTACTTTGCACCTTGTTCTAGCTGACACATGTTGAGGACTTTAGAGAAAAACAAGGAGAGTACAATCCTGGATTTATCACCATCCATACACAAATCTCCCTGGACTGCAAGGAGGACAAACCTATCCATTCTAAAGGACAGATCCTGAAGCTGAGGCTCCAATACTTTGGCCATCTCAGGAGAAAACTCCCTGGAAAAGACCCTGATGTTAGGAAAGTGTGAAGGCAAGAGGAGAAGGAGACGACAGAGGATGAGATGGTTGGACAGTGTCATCGAAGCTACCAACATGAATTTGACCAAACTCCAGGAGGCAGTGGAAGACAGGAGGGCCTGGCGTGCTCTGGTCCATGGGGTCACGAAGAGTTGGACACGACTAAAGGACAACATACATAAATCAAACATGCTAGTTCAATGGAAATATATGGACCCTCCATAACACGAAAGCAGGCTTAGAGCATGCAGCATACCCCTCAGTTTATTAATATGGCACTCAAATAATCTGAGGTGAAACCTCCAGATAAGACATGAATTCTACGTATCTTATGCTACACTATTGAATGTTGTTTTCCTCACACTACATCTCAAGGCCGTGACCACCATACAGACACTATGACTTCAGGGTCAAGTGAGCTTCTCCCTGCTTCCACCTGATCTTTATAATATCTTGTCTTATGAGGACATCTAGAGATTTTGAAAGCATGCATTTCTGGGACCCTGTTCACATAAGTATTAAACTAGCACAGGTTTTGAAACTGTTAGCTTGCTTCTTACACCTATATGCCTCCTTTCTTCCAGTCAACTCAAGGCAGATTATGCGGCTTCCCACCTCCTCACTTTACACCCTAACAATAACTGTGCAGTCGTCCTGATAAATCATATGAGAGCTGGACCATTTCACATTGTAAGGCCTCCTCATTAGATAGGGCCAAGAAGCTAGGCTGGCCTAATCTTTGCTGTTGTTCTGCAAGTAGGCAAAGATCTATTCCTTCAGGCAAGCTTTCCCTATGTGCATGACTGGCTGTCTGATTGGAGTTTTTTAAGGGATTGTTGTACCTTAATGCTTTTGAATGTGTCTTGATGTTGCTTTTTTTAATGGTATTTGCTCGATCCTTTTTAGTACTTGTATACTCACTTTTGTAGCTTTAATATTGTCTTTTAAGCTGCCTTGGGTCCTTTCAAGGAGAAAGGCGGAGTACAAATATTTTAAATAAATAAATAAATAATTATTTGGGAAGAAGGGTAAAAAAAGAGGAACATTTCAATGTAAAGAATGTAAAATATGTAAAAATATTTTAATGTTTGTAGAATGCATGAGTTCTGCACCCTTGGCGGAAGTAAGGTAAAAATAAAGGTTCCCCTTGACATTTAGTCCAGTTGTGTCCGACTCTAGGGGGCGATGCTCATCCCCATTTCCAAGCCATAGAGCCAGCGTTTGTCCAAAGACAGTTTCCGTGGTCACATGGCCAGCACGATTAGACATGGAACGCCGTTACCTTCTCACCGTGGTGGTACCTATTTATCTACTTGCATTTTTACATGCTTTCCAACTGCTAGGTTGGCAGCAGCTGGGACAAGCAATGGGAGCTCACTCCGTTGTGTTCATTCGATCTTATGACCGCTGGCTTTCTGACCTTGCAGCACAGAGCCTTCTGCGGTTTAACCTGCAGTGCCACCACGTCTCTTACTTGGCTGAAGGTATACCCAATGAGGGATGACACAGACTAAATGGCCCTCATGTGCGCACACCCCCATAGGGCCTGTGAAGTAGGTCAGGCTGAGAGACTGAATCAATCCAGTCTGAATTTCTGAACGCAAACTCTTAACACAATGAATTCTAAATAGTGGCTACTATTTTCCTCATGCTGTATTATAACACACGCCATCAACAAGATCCACCCAATTGATATTTATTCATATTTTAATTGAGTCTTTCTTCATTAAGGGCAAAAATGGTTGCATCCTATGCATAATAATTTGCCTTAGCTCAAGTTCCAAAGAACGCAGTCACAGATGGATCCCGTCGCGGGAGGACTTTCGGAAAGCAGTTCAACCCCCATCCACCCAAACAGCGGATTGGGTCCCGCAACACCGCAGGACTCACATCCCGTTTTGAAATAATGGACATAATACAGTAATACTTATCCTACTAATCATGCCATGCGGGTTGGTGTCCAGGGTCTAAAATTACCGACGGCAAGCACTGAATAGCCTACACAGGGATTAACAGTATACTGTACTTCATGTGCATTGACGGCAAAGCAAAACGCAGGCACGCGCCAGCCCAGGGTCCACCTCAGGACATGCGCGCGCTCACCAGGCGCTCGCCCGAAGAAAAGCAGCTGGCAACCAGATCCTGGCAGCCACATAAAGAAAGCTAGACAAATAACACCAATCCGGGAAGACCAGAGAGGCTCTTTCCCTCATCCTAATATAGGGCACATATAATATTTCTCTTTTCGCCGGCCCACTCTGTCTTCAACCCCACCGTCACAGGGGGAAGAAGGTGTCAAAACGGATAGACCGCACGTTCCTGTTCAGTGCCCTTGCAGGACCCGCTTGCAAAAAGGGCGGGTGACTCCGCGCACAGGCGGTCGCCTGCCTTCTGCCAGCCTCCCCCGTAAACAACCTAATAAAAAGGAAGAAGCATTTTCCTCAACCCATCCCTCCTCAAGGGCGGGTGCCTCCGCAGGTAACCTTGCCGCAAGGGGTTGCCCGCCGCCGCCGCCGGCTTCTGCGGTCCTCTTGTCGGCCGGTCGGGAAGCGACCCACATCTTCCGTATTGGGTCGGGCGGGGTGTGTTGGTTTACGTCGCAGCCGGCAGGAAGGTGGGTCTTTTCGTGCCGGCTGGTGAAGGAGGGAAAGCAGGATTTCCCCTTCCTCCTGAGGAGTCCAAAGGATTCCCTCGCCACCCGAGGTACCGCCGTCGTCCTGGAAGGATGGGGACCGGGGAAAAGGTAAGGCGCAGATGATGGTGGGGGTCACGGGGAAGCGGAAGAGGGTGCCCTGAGCAGGGCTATTCTATGGGAACTGGAGTGGAATTGGGGGTTAGACTGGATGACCTTGGGGAACCCTCTCTGCCTTGCCTCTCCGTATATGGTGCTTAGCCTTCCGGGCCGGCGGGTGGAAAGGATTTTCTGTTCAATGACAGAGGAAGACATTCCAAGGAAAATGGGATTCTGGATAGACTATCTAACAGGATAGCCTGATTACAATACATCTAGAGATGCCCCCAGAGCAAAGCAGAATTTAGATGTTCTTTAAACAAGCATCATTAGATCATTATTATTTTTTTTGCTTAAAACGTGATTGAGGCAATGGCATGTGTATTATTAGACCACATATTTCCCCCTTAGTTTCCACCCCCCTCTTGTTTCTTTGGCCTTGCCAAACTCACATTTTGTGCCCTGGGCATCATATAGGATATTAGGCAACAGCAGGTGAAATAGCCACAGTTATCCCGGATACTGCTGCATGTATTTTTAAATGTTTTAATATACCTACCACATAGTTCTGCTTTGTGTTGTGGACTAAATGCCCCCTCCATTACTGACAACTTTAAGTACTGTAACTTTGATTTCCGGGGAGGCTCACTGAATTGTTTTTCCTCCTACTTATTTATTTAGCCAGGTGGTTTGTGTTATAACTTTTGAAAGGTGTAGCTAAATCACAGTCAATACAAATGTTAAAGCATGATTAAATCTATTATAATATTAAATTTAAATTTAAATGGAAATTAAAATACTTTTTAAAATCTCTGTTAAAAGGCATATCATAATTTACATTAAAAATAAAACAAGCTCAGTATATCTACTACCAGACTCGTTGCCATCCCAGAGTGCAGGACATGCAGCAGTGGGCGCAAGTTAAAGGAAGCCAGATCTCAGTTGAACATCAAGGGAAACTTCCTAACTGTTAGAGCTGTACGATAGTGGAACCAGTTACCTCGGGAGCTGGTGAGTGCTCCAACACCGGAGGTATTCAAGAAAAACTTGGATAATCACCTGGCAGATATTTGATTGTATTCCTGCATTGAGCAGGGGGTTGGACTTGATAGCCTCGTATGCCCCTTCCAACTTCACTTTTCTATGATTCTGTGATTAGGCTATCAAAGGCCTACATGAATAAAAAGGTCTTAGCCTGTAGGCTAAGGATCCAGTCATACAGATAGCCTGAACTAAGACCATGTGGTGCTTTATAAATTATAATTAGCACTTTGAATGGCACCCAGAAACAGATTGTTAGCCAGGAAAGCCATACACTAATTCTGCTACCCTTCTGGAAATGGCTAATCTAGTACTGTACAGAATTTATATTTCAGTTGTAATTGGTGTTGTTTAAAGACAATTCGCCCTCTGAGGCAGAACAGCAGATAGTATCCACTCACATAGTACCCAAAACCTGTCTGGGTAGTTTGGCACAAGTGGCAAAAAAATCCCCAAACACTTAATTTCATCTCTAGGTGGAAGTATATCATAATAACCAATTAAATAACCATTTGCTGCCTTTTAATCACATCCCAAATCAGTTACGTGACTCTGCTTAATGGTAAGGCGGGCCCTGTTTTACAGAATGCATTGGAAAATCCCTGGAGAATCTAAATGTGAAAACAGTGGCCTTCTAAGACATCTCAAAGAGTAAGGCAGACAACTCTCGAATGCGACTCTCAACAGCTGCTTAGTTTATATCTACGGTTGGGGTGCTCCTGAGGCCATGTTTCATAATTGCAACTTTGCATCCATTTAAATAAGAAATAGAGAGCAGGGCAGTTGGATGGAGGCTTCCATGATTTATGATGTTTGTATTGTAAAATTCCAGCAGTTTATCCCTCTCTTTGATTTTTGTCAATTATAACCCCTTTATTCATTCTGCACTAAGGGTTTTTTCAGGACATTGTAGTTGATCCAGACAGGATATGTTCCTGATTTTATTACTATATATACAGACATCTAACACTGAAATGAGAAACTACTGATGACTCTTGGCAAAGAAGGAGAGTTGGAATGCGCAGAATCTGTATGGTGTGTGCCGTGTACATGAAAAACACATTTAATGAACATTCTGTTCCATTTACACTTAATTGGCATAGGATCTTTCAGTGTAGCCCAGTGTTGTTCTCTTGTGGTATGGAAATCATGGTGGCTTTAATAATTGTATGTAATTACATCGATCTCTGCTCATCCATAATCCCCAGGGATGGTCCAGGGGTCAATCTCAACTTCTATATCCAGTCTATTCTGAAAGACTTTTTATAACAATGGGATGGGGAAAGTCCAGATAGCCTGGAGTTATCTATAGTATGTGAGTGATCTCAAGTTCGAAAAAGTTATATTCTTGGAATACAGGTTCCAGAACTTCCCAGCCAGGACAACCAGTGACTTCAGGGAGTTGTAGCTCAAACAACACCCCCCACAAGCTGAAAACCTCCTGAGCAAGGGTGACATAAAATGTGGTAAAGAAACATTAAAGTTCTTATGACATGAAGCTTTGTGTGGATTGTATCATAAATATATAAATATACTAAATGCAGTTTTAAAAGCATAATCTGAAGAGGCCCCCCACAAGGTGAAAACAATTTTTCCAACTTCTGAGTAAGGGTGACATAAAATGTGGTAAAGAAACATTAAAGTTCTTATGACATGAAGCTTTGTGTGGATTTTATCATAAATATATTAATATACTAAATGCAGTTTTAAAAGCATAATCTGAAGAGACAATAACCAATCAGTTACTATATGTTGCAGTATGAGTAGTTTAGTATGTAGGTGGGTTTAATAATGGGGATGTAGTGTCTTTTTTCCAGCATAAGTTTACATAGGATTTTTGCTTCAACACTGTCATTGTGACCATGGCTTGTATGTATGCCAAAGGGAAAACTCTTGTGTAATGCCTGTTTTGCTGACAGCTATTCTGTTTATTTTGGAACAAGGATGCCTGTTGCCAGCAAGATTTACTCTCCAGTTTGCTGATGGATAAACGAGCTGCAAGTATTAACAGCTGCTAGGGAAATATAAGCTCCTCCTAGCAACCACACTTTTTGCCTTGAAGAATTGTGACAGCATTGAAGATGAGGAGCAGGAGCAACTCTGGAGTCCGTTTGGATGGCTATGCTCGTCTTGTTCAGCAAACCATTTTGAATCATCAGGTTAGTGCAAGTCTTATGGGTGAATGGGCCCCTCCTGGTCTTAGGAGTTCTCTTGTTCCTTTTTACTGTACAGTACTTTTGTTAAGCAGTTCTTGTTTATTCACCCCTCTCTTCTATCTGATGCAATCCTTAAATTAGCTAAATGTCTGGAATATTTTGGATAATGTACAGAATTTCTTTGACTTGTATGAGGAACAGTATTTGCCTCTTGTTCCTTTTTACTGTACTTTTGTTAAGCAGTTCTTGTTTATTCACCCCTCTCTTCTGTCTGATGCAATACTTAAATTAGCTAAATGTCTGGAATATTTTGGATAATGTACAGAATTTCTTTGACTTGTAGGAGGAACAGTATTTGACCAACACAGTATATAGTGAAGAAACGTGTTTCTTTGAGCACCAGGTGTATGATATTTTACAGAATCTCACTATTACATGGTCCATGGCAAAGACAAAATCTTGAGAGATTTTCTAAGCAGTTGTGTTGCTCAGTACCAGAGTTGTTTGGGGGAGCTAAGCAGGGTTTAATTAGCTCTGATCAGCAGATTTTACAGAAGTTGTAAAAACAATAGAAATTTCCATTATAAATTTTTTGTCTGTGCATCAAGTCCCTGTAAGTTGCTACATCAGCAATAGTGAGTTGTTTACAGTTGAAAGGAAATATAAACATCTAAGAGAAATATAAATCTGGGGAGGCAGGAGACACACACAACAACACAACAAACTATGTCATGCAGCACTCAAGGTGACTTACAATCTTTATGAAATAATAAAAACAACTTCCTTAGTTCTCATGGATGTTTCAGAATTTTATACCTTTTGATACCATTGATCATTGTGTATTGTTACATCACCTTGCTAGGTTGGGTGTGGGGGTGTAACAGCCACCCTCAAACCTCCAAGAGTGGTTGCTACTTTACTGTAAAATCTCTGCTGCCACCAACTTATCCTTAAAAATCATAAAAGGACAAGTGTAACTTTGAAAAACAAAAACTGGTTTATTGATTACAGGAAATAAAAATTGTAAATCACTGGTAAAGAATCAATAAGTCAATCACTGTAAATAAATCACTGGCTCTCACAGACTATTTCACACTGACAGGCTCTCTCACTCACTATAACAAACTCTCATGTCTAATCTCTATCTCCATCTCTCAAACTGATCTCTCAAACACCATACACACCCCTTTATATCCCAGCTCCTCCCCCTTTAGCACCACCTTCCATCCCCTCATTGGCTGCTGTTCCACTGCCCAGCTGTGACGGACAGGTGAGGGCAGGGCTGAACGTTAAAGGGGGCACTGTTACAGTGGCATCACAGTGATTCTAGTACTTGAAAGATAATATTGAAGGAGTGCTGTTTGATGCTATGGCCTTTGGCATCTCTTAGGGTGCAACCTTATTCCATATTATTTATGTGAAGCTGCTTGAAAAGGCCATGTTAACCTTTGGAATGAGGTGCCACCAAGTGTGCTGAGGACATCCAGCTCTATCACTCCTTCTCCTGCAACAGCAAGGAAGCAGTCAAGACAAGATGGAGGTTCTGCTGGTCAGTAGAAAGTCGGATTTAAGGACCTGTTCTAAAAAGGCTTCCTCTTCCCCTGACAGGCCAAATTCATAGCCTAGAAGTGATCCTTGACTCTGTGGATTTCATAGAGGCAACAATATTGCTTTTGTACAACTTCATCTACCCTGTTTTGCCGAAAATGAGACCTAACCTGAAAATAAGCCCTGTCTGTGGATTTCATAGAGACAACAATATCGCTTTTGTACAACTTCATCTACCCTGTTTCGCCGAAAATGAGACCTAACCTGAAAATAAGACCTAGTGTGATTTTTCAGGATGCTCGTAATATAAGCCCCACCCTCCACCAGGGACTCATTGTACAGCAACCAGAAGAAGATGACATGACTGTAGTTGAATAAATGTAGGTTGTTGTACATGAAAAAAAAAATCCCCTGAAAATAAGCCCTAATACATTTTTGGAGCAAAAATTAATATAAGAACCTGTCTTATTTTCAGGGAAACAGGGTAGTGCTCCAGGTGCTACATTTTCCGAGTCAATCTGACTTAGTATCAGTGATTTTGTTACATCATGTCTTGACTTCTGTAATGCATTCCGTGTTGGATTACCCTTGAAGAGGGTGTTGAATTTTCATGTGGTGCAATATGTGGCGGCTAGGTTGCTAACTGGTGCACAGTACTGTGAACGTATGACCCTGAAAGTGAAAGACAGGCACTGGTTGCCAGTTCTTTACCAGGCCAATCCAAGGTGTTAGTTTTAACTTTTAAAGCCATTAAATGGCTTGGGTTATCTGAGGGCTTTGTTATGAGTCTGTTTGGATGTTAAGATCTTTAGGAGAGGCCCTCTTAAAAACAACAATGGTTTCAGAGGTCCGCCTAACAAGCATGTGGGAGAGGGCTTTCTCCTATATGGCTCCCAGTTTGTGGAATGGACTTCTTTCAGAGTTGCAATTAGTTTCTGCTCTAATTGATCTTAAGCAAGGTATAAAACACATCGTTTTAGACCAGCATGTACTGTTTAACATGCCTCACTGTGATGTTTTTCATTGTAATTGATTTGAATGGTTTAAATCAACGTTCCGTTCCCTCTAAGTCATGTGGGTGCACATCTCTGCATGGGGGTTGAGCAGCCAAGCCAGTGTTGCAGCTCATTTGCTTCCAGTTATGGCTGGAATTCCGCATGCGCAGGGAGGGGCCCCTGCCCAGCGCTCCAGAAAATCAAAGGGAATGTTGGTTTTAATCCTTGGAGTTTATTTTAATGGTTCTGTGGGTTCATTGGTTTTACTAAATGTTGAATATTTTGTAGTTAAATTTGATTTTACTTGTTTTTATTATTTTATAAATATTGTAAGTCACCTTGAGTGCTGCTTTCTAGTGGAAATGAATTGATGGTGGATGTAAATGAATGAATTGATGTATGGATGAATATTGCTGTTGTTCCTTCTGTATCATATTTTTCCTGCATTAGTTTTGTAAATTTGAAGTATCCTGTCTCAGGTGACAAATACAGGTGTGTATGCATAAGACATCCCTGTGTGAAAGAGATTAATGCTTGGTATAGAAATAATTAGGAAGAGGCCATGTGGTCTTTAAGCTTACAGAAATGTAAGATTGGGTGACACCTTTTGTGGGACCACTAAAAAATCGAACACATTGCAAGCTTTTGCAGAGAAGATTCTACTTCATTAGCCTGAGCATTACTACTTCGTGGACAGTGCAGAAAAATTGTAGATTCTGAATACGTTTTCTTCCACATGTGTATTGTAAAAGTGTGTTGTAATTGGTGTACAGTATACGCTTTCTTTTACATGGAAGTGATAAGTTTGTTGTGCTCCTTAGACTCCTTAGGGCTGTCAATGGAGATAATATAAATATAGGACTTGCTCTGTTTAAAGGTTGGCTCCAGACAAGATTCCCTCTAAGGTGCACAACTGTGTGAGCCTCCACCTCCCTCCACGCAGATTTCCTCCTTCACGCACCCACAGCTGTCATTTCCAGCCCTCTTTGTTCTGATTGGAACTGAACCCTGCATGAGGAGGAAGCGAGTCACATACGTGGGGCTGAAAATTAGAGGGAACTTTGGCTGCAGATATTCCTTGCAGTGGGATTAAGTAAATACTAAAGATGTCTGGATAGCTCTTTGAGTTAGATATCTAACTGTGAAGTCAGAGGCTGGGAGTTTGATTCCCCACTGTGCCTCCCAAGAGAAGAGTCAGCCTATGTAGCCTTGCACAGTCTGCATGTAGGTCTTTGAGTTAGATATCTAACTGTGAAGTCAGAGGCTGGGAGTTTGATTCCCCACTGTGCCTCCCAAGAGAAGAGTCAGCCTATGTAGCCTTGCACAGTCTGCACAGTCTCAGACCATCCGCACAAGAACTTAATGGTAAACCACTTTTGAGCACTCTATACCTAGAAAATCTCGGGAAGGTTTGCCATAAGTCAGAATCAACTTGAGGACTTGTTGCTGTTTTACTTGTTGTTGTTAAACATTGCAAAATAGGGTAGGTAAAGAGGAGCTAGACCTGAAGGATAGCACTTTTTCCTAAATTAGCATAATGCTCTCATTCTGTCAATTCATTAAACTGAAGATCTCCTATGGTAGAAAATAGCACTGTCTTCTGACAGTCTTCAGTTAAATATCCTACAGTGAGTTTTTTTCGTGAGTCATTTTCCAAATATACTCCTTACTAAGTAGTGCAAGCTGGAACAGGCTGGTAGAAGGGCATAATACACTATGGAGTCAGATTTAAGGGCATAATACATTGTGAATTGAAATTCAAGACCCCAAACATCAGTGGAAACTTTATTGCAAGCTATTCAAGGAGTGGATTTTGCAGTGATGACGAACAGGCAGTAACTCCCACTGTAATGGTCTTCTGGAATGAAACAGTAGTTCATGGAAAGCTGGAGTCCCATGACAAGAGAAGTAAGCCTTCTTAGCTCTGTATTGCAATTTTTGAAATAAATAAATATGTGATGACGACAGTAACTCCCACTGTAATGGTCTTCTGGAATGAAACAGTAGTTCATGGAAAGCTGGAGTCCCATGACAAGAGAAGTAAGCCTTCTTAGCTCTGTATTGCAATTTTTGAATTGAAA